CTCTCTCTCTCTCTCTCTCTCTCTCTCTCTCTCTCTCTCTCTCTCTCTCTCTCTCTCTGCTAATTCACTGTAAAGCTTAATCTCTATATTCGAGAACTTCCAAACAGGATATCAAACAAGTATTCCAAAACTTCCAAATATCAACAAGCTCCTAGGGAAGTCAAACTTCCATGTTTTAGGGATTCCCCAGCTTCCCATTACCAAATGTGCCCTGGTAATCACCCATGACTCTTCGATGTTTGTTTAGGGTTTTGGTTTCCAATAGAAGAATTGCCTTAATTGATAAGTCTTCAACAACTCTTGTATTTTTCTTTTTTTTTTTAAACTGTTAAACTGTAACAACAACTCTTGGTTATTATGGGCTATTTCTAGGGAAGTAAGTGATATCGTTTTCACAAGAAAACCTAGAATTTGAACCAAAAGGATAATGAATGACTTAATACTTGATTTCAGGTCAATCCAACGGGTCCGGCGATCGTCTTCTTTTTTCCAATCGAGAACAACCCCACAGTTTCAAGTTAGCAACAAGTCCTCTGCTCTTTTTTTAGTTGAAGCAAATTCCCAAAAGAAATCATGGAAGAGATGCATGGGCAATGTGACTCCTAATCCAGTTCAAAGCCAACACTGCTAAACTAATGTCCAAAATCTCAATTTTATCAGGAAATAGTCTCATCAGAAAGTCAACTTAATCTCACTATCTAGACAAACATTCACGGACTCTTACAATAAGTAGTAAATAAAGACATGAAAAAGCAATACGTATATGAGTAGAATAGACAATAAAAGTACATAAAATAGAGACTCACACAAGCAAATTGGAACTCTGTTAGATTCTGAAGCACTTCAGCTTTTGTCTCACCCCCCTCGATCTCATAAGAATCCAGGTCACCGAGCTTTCCACCAGTTTCAGATTCTCTCTCCACAACCTGTACCCATTCATGACAAAGCAAACTACAAAATTGGTGAATGGGTTTTCTATATTTACTTTTAAGATTATTACTAGCACCCAAAAGAGTGACCCTATACCTCAGGGGATAACACTGTGGTCACAGTTGGAACAAATGAAACAACAGAATGAAATTTGTTGAAGACAATCCTCAAAGCATCGTACTCAACATTCTTCAAAATATCATCAGCAAGGACAGAGACCTGAAAGAAACACATCATTATGAACCAATGATGAAATGATGGAAGGGACCAATTACAAGTTGGGCGAATCACCAAGAAACTAGGGTAACTAATTCATAGTACAGTTTTCTTTTTGAAGTGGTCTTATACATGGTGTGTTATGGTTCGTAGGGTACCTTTCCTATCAAAAGATTTTGTTTCAAATGATATTTTAATTGTTTTCATAAGTTCAAAATGTTATCCTTCTGTTCACCAGTTCGGTTAGTTTGGGGCCAGTGTTCTTCAGCATAAATATTTTGGAATTTTTTTTTTTTTTGATAAATGTTGACTTAATATTTTGGAGTTGATTACAAACCTACCTTAATCATTCTTTAATATCCACATATGCTGGCTCAGTCTCTCATGACCCCATAAGAATACATGCCGGGTCATGTCGAAGGGCACAAGTCAAAAACATTAATGCTTTAGTAAATAAAAAAAAAAACAAAAATAAGAAATTTGTGCGCTAAGCCAATTAAAAACAACTGAAATTTTCAAGAAAAAGAAGGGAAATTCATGAAAATAGGAAAACATAAAATAAAAAAGTGACACTTAATAAATTGTTTTAAACTATGGAGGTGCTTGCAAGTTGGAGATACTGCCTATTTACAGAAAAGGTAGAACCTTGTGGAAACTCAGCGTTGTTGCCATTCAAAGGGATTCATGGTTAGAGGGGAACAAATAGATATTTGAGAAGTTTTCAAGAGCCGGTATTGTAAGAAATAAAGTAAGAGATATGATCATTTTTTGGGGCCTTGCTACAAAAGAATTCAGAGGTTTCCATGCAAAGGACTTGATGAAAATGGTCAAAGGTGACAAATATGTCGTTTTGTTGTTGTCGTTTTGTTGGGCTCAAGGGGATGGTGCCCCTTGGAAACTCACAAAAATTATAGAGAAAGGATTTATGATGATTGTTGTGAGCAGCCATTCACTTTATAGCATTTGCCACAAATGGCCAATGTCAGAGCAGATTCAATAGCACATGCTGGACATAGTACTAGGGACCTTTTTATTGGATCAGACCATTAGTTTGATGGTTTCGTTTTCTTTCTAATACCCCCTCCCCACCCACCACCATTTACATCCTGTGGTTCACTGTGAAGCAAGTTGATGCAAAAAAAGGAAAAATGTTTTATAAGTATAGTTTATCAACATAAAATAAAATTTAACATTATATACGCACCTTCAGTATGAAAAACAATTACACTCATAGAAATGCTAAACTATAATCCTAAATCCACCTTCAATTTCTTATTTGATTGAACAGTAAATTAACTCATTTCTTAACCATTGCAGAATGTTTTAAACGTGTTAAGTATTACGTGTATGTATAACAACTAGTATTTTTTAATATTTAAAAGAATACCAGAATGGACCAATCAATAAATGCAACGAACATATTACATGAGCTACCCAGCTAAGGCAGAAATTGAGCTCAATTGCGCTTTATAATATCAACCAAAAGTACCACATCTGCAAAGAGGCCTATTTCTCGCTGTTGTTAAGACTTAAATTTACTAGTGAAATTTAAATGGTGTAAAAAGATAAAATTATCATGCCTTAAGAATTTAACATTACCATTGACAAAAGGTTCCAGGATTTCCAAATTTTCACTTCCGTGAAAAATCCAAACAATTTCATCCGAAGTGTCACATCCCAAGAGACTTCAAGAAACAGTTTCCAAAATCAAACACCAAATACCATGGATAAAAGGACCTTATCAGGCACCAACAAGAGATGAAACACAAATTCAATGGAATCTATTCTCGAGATTGCGCTATCCACAATATCCAATCTTATCCATGGATATTGTACGAACAGTCTTGACATCCACTCATAAACACTGAAAGATCAAGCAAACAAACTTAATCATCTTAGTTTTGTTGGGCAAACATCTACCACCACGGTCGATACCAATAAGTTACATTCTAAGATAAAGCTGTCTGCATTTTTTTCACTTTGTGTTCCTCTAGAAAAGGCGTCGAAATATTTTCCACACGTGAAAATTCCACTTCCAAAATAGTATTTCACAGTTTGTTTCTCTTTTTAATCTTTTTCCTTTGACATAACTGGCTGTCAATGTCGTCCGCAAGGACAAAGTTTTCTTTATTGATTTCAATTTTTTATTTTTCTGAAGAAAAAAAAAAAGGAGAGAGAGTGAGAGAGGCTTTCATGAAAATGGAACACTTGATTGCCCATAGAGAAAAGAAAGTGCCATGGGCACCTTTAACAAATAACTCTAAGAAATGCGAAGCAATAATAATTATATGACCTGTGTATAATTAAAAGGGTTCTTCTGCAACTCAGTAATGGAAATCTCTATGTCCTTCTTGGAGTCACGCACTAATTGGGCCTTTGCCTTTTCCCCCAAAACGACATATTTTACTTCCTTATCTGGGCCTGACAACAAAAAAAATTGATTTCCAGATTACCATAAATACAAAAGAAAAAATAAGCATCATCAGCTAGTATCCTTAAAAGCCAAAAGGAAATTGATCTGTTAATTGTGCCACATGTGAAGTTAGAGTCATATGCTAAGTAACAATCTGGAAGACGATCCATGTGACTATAATTAGTGTGTTTAAATGCATGAGTATGCCTATTTGTATTGCAACAATTTAAAGAATTGAACTAGGTTTTCAGCATGTTACAAAGAAAAAAGTATAATATTCAAATGGTAAAATGAAGGGGAAAAAAGCCACGGTTCAATCAATGGGGTTACTGTTCGACGGGAACATAACTCCCTCAAAGAAAATGCCGGTGCCTCTCAGATAAGTGCTCCCTCCCCCAATCCTAAAGGTTGTAGAACGTTAGCAAATATGTTTTCCAATATTAACCATAGCTTGTCTGCATCATCTTCCAAGCTTTCTCCCCTGGTGGCTTCCCTACCCACTAGCCCTAAAATGCGTAGGTCTAGGAGGAACTAATACCGCCATCCTAATTCCCCCAGATGAAGATTAGGTGTGGGAATACTAGAGGGCTTTGTAGCCATACCAAGCACGAGCCATGCGCTCTTTAGTCTCTTCCCATTTCCCTCTTATCCTTGGTTTGGTTGAAACTAAGCTCCCTGCTCCAAATTTACCTCTCATTAGGGACATTTGGGGTAGGACCCCCCTGCAATTGGGTCGCTAAAGACTCTCAGGGGGCATCTTGAGGAGTTTGGGTGCTTTGGAACCCAACTCTGCTCCAATCCTCCATTCATGGTTTTCGGTTAATGTCCTTTTTTGAAGAGTCTTTGATAATATCCTGCTTAAAGCCTCCATTATCTACGATCCCAATTGCCCGACCGCTAGACAGGACTTTTGGCCTGAGCTCCTATCTGAAATGCCCACCTCTGATGTCCCCTAACCCCTGGGGAGTGATTTTTAATGTCATTAGATGGGTTCATGAGAAGAGCTCCAGTGGTAGCATCACGGCCTCCATGAGAGCATTCTCAGATTTTATTGACAGTATCCCCTTGCTGAACATTCCACTTTTTGGGGCTGCTTACACCTAGTCCAACCATGCTGTCGTACCAGTCATGACCAAAATCGATAGATTTCTGATCTCTAATTCCTGGGAAACCAAATTCCCAAGCTCTCATGCTTTTGCCCTCCCTAAGATTACCTCTAACCACAAACCAATTATCCTTGATGCTAGCCCTCTCGCCCCTGTTAATCAACCTTTTAGATTTGAACTTTTTTGGTTAAAAGAACCGGCCTTCACCAGCTCTTTAGGAACTGGGGGTCATCTTTTAATGTTTTTGGGTGGGCAAGGTTTTGCCTATCAAAAAACTCAAACTTTTGAAGGCCTCCATTAAACAGTGGAGCCGATCCATTCCAGGCAATTTTATGGACTTCATTCTAGCCCAATCGACCCTTATCCAATCCCTCAATGTTCTGGAAGAATCGAGATCTCTCTCTCCCCAGGAGCTTCTAGACAAGGTGTCTACTAGGGAAAATATGTTTCTTCTTTGTAAGCAGGAAGAGACCTTTTGGTTTCAAAGGTCCAGAATTAAATGGCTCAAGGTCAGGGACCAAAATACAGCCTTTTCCATAAAACTGCTAGTGTCAGGAGGAGAGGAAACACCATTACTCAACTTAGTGTAGGAAATCGCATCTTCTCCCAACCTGACCTGATCAATAGGCTTATAGTCAAACACTTTAAAAAACCTCTTCTCCCTGCCATCCTCTCCTAAGCCTTCTCTAGGTAGCATCTCTTTCCTTTCCTTGTCCAGTGAGGATGCCATTTGGCTAGAAAGACCTTTCTCTAAGGAGGAGATCCATAAGGCCATTTTGGACCTTGGTCGGGATAAAGCCACTGGCCCTGACAGTTTTCCAGTCGCCATATTTCAAGATTTTTGGGATACCCTAAAACCCGACATTCTTGCTTTCTGCTTGGAATTCTTCCATAGAGGTTGTTTGAACTCTACCCTTACTTGTACATTTATCGCCCTTATCCCTAAGATTGAAGGGGCTGAAAAACTCAGAGATTTCAGACCTATTAGCCTTCTTAATTCCTCTTACAAAATTCTTGCTACGGTCCTGGCCTCTCGCTTTCAAAAGGTGTTACACTCTGTTATTTCCCCTATACCCAATCAGCTTTTGTGGCTAATAGACAAATCCTCGATGGGCACTAGCAGCCCATGAAGCCATCCATTCCAAATTCTTATCTGGGGAAAAAGGCTCAATTATCAAGCTTGATTGGGAAAAAGCCTACGATCGTGTTGATTGGAGTACCTTGGACGAAATTCAGTCGCATATAGGGTTTGGAATCAAGTGGAGATCCTAAATCAAGGCTTGCATTTCCAACCCCCACTTTTCTGTCCTTATCAATGGCTCCCCGATGGGCTTCTTCTCGGACTCTTGTGGTCTCAGGTAGGGAGACCACCTCTCGGCTTTTTTGTTTACCCCCATTGGGGAACTCTTTACTAGATCCATCTCTAGGATCTATGACTAGGGCCTTCTTAGGGGCTTCCTCACCTCTCCTTCAGGTCCCATTCTTTCTCACTTACTTTACGCAGATGACACTCATCTTTTGCGATGCCGAGCCCACCCAGCTGGATAATCTCTGGCGTTTCCTTATATGTTTTGAGCTTGCCACTGGGATGAAGGTTAATATGACCAAGACCAAATTGTTAGGTGTTAGGGTCAGTGACTCTGAGGCTTCAAACCTAGCCCAACACCATGGGTGTGCCATTGAATCCCTCCCCTCTACCAACTTGGGTCTTCCGCTATGTTTAAGAAACCTAGCAAACACCTTTAGGATACTATTATGAAAAAATTCTTATTGAAATTCGCAAATTGGAAGGGTAGGTTCCTCTCTCTTGGAGGTAGAATTACTCTCATCAATGGCACTTTGGCCTACATTCCTGTGTTCCAAATGTCCCTTTTCCCTATTCCAGCCTTGGTTGCTAATCGGCTAAAGAAGCTCATGAGAGATTTCCTTTGGATTGGAACCTCTAGGGATCATAGATTCCATTTGGTTTCTTCGGAAATCATTTGCACTCCAAAAAATATTGGTGGTCTAGGGTTTAAGAGACTTAGGACTATGAACCTTTCCCTTATAGGGAAATGGTGGTGGAAATATGCCTCCCCTGATCCTCTTTTGTGGAAATCCATCATCCATGCTAGATATGGAATCGAAGAGAATGGGTGGCTTCCCCGCTTCCCTTTGTTCTGAGCCTCTAGGGCTTGGAGATCCATCTCGTCAGTCAAATCTACTTTCAAAAGCTTCTTCAGATTCAAACTAGGTAATGGTCTTAGGACTAGATACTGGAAAGAACTCTGGCTAGGTGATCAAACTCTTGATTTACTCTTCCCTCGTTTCCTTCGTGCTGCTAATCAAGATGCACTCATCGCCCACTATGTCGATCACATAGGAACTTCTCTATCCTAGACCCCCTACTCTCAACTCTCTTCTCCATCTTCTAAACTCTGTTTTTCCCTCAGAGAAGATTCCCTCATTTGGTTCCACAACCCCTCAGGTATTTTTACAGTCTCCTTTTATGGTTCTCTCCTTCCCCCCTTGAACCCATCTCCCCTTCTTAACAAAAGTTGGTCCTTCCCCATACCTCATAAGGTCTCGGCCTTTCTGTGGACCCTTCGCCGAGGCAGAGTTCTAACTCTTGACCAACTTCAAAAGAGATGCATCTCTCTTCCCAATAGATGCATCATTTGCCTCCAAAAGGAGGAGAATACACCCCATCCTTTTATTCATGGCCCCTTCATCTCTGTTCTATGGTCCAAAATCCTTCATCTTTTTGGCCTCTTTTGGGTCACACCTCAGTTGGTCCCAAGAGGACTTCTTCTAGTCTTCACTTCCCCTCCTTATCCTTCCAACGGTATTAAGCTTTGATACATTGCAATTGCTGCCCTCTTCTGGTCCATGTGGCTAGAGAGAAAGGCGAGGATTTTTTGCGGGGTAGCCAAATGCCCCTGTCCATTTCTGAATCCCTCTTATCCCTCATCTCTTTCAGGGCTTCCTCCATCCCCTCTTTTTCTTGTATCCCCATCTCCTATCTCAAAGGTAATTGGCAAAGCTTGTTGTTATCTCGGTCCCCTTCACCACCATTAGAGCCTCTTGGTGTCGCCCCCCATGGGGTACCCTAAAACTAAACACAGATCGTGCTTCCTTAGGCAATCCCGGCCCCTCTAGATATGGGGGCACTCTTTGCCAATTCCAATTTTCTGGGCCACTGGGTGCTACTGACTCCACAAACATTGAAGCCCTGGCCTTGTTGTAAGGCCTAAAGAAGATGATCCACTACAGCTCTCTGTACTCAGAAATTCAAGTCGAAGTGACTCTAGCGATGTGATCAGCTGGGCACCCAACCTCGCAATACCAACGTGGCGACTAAATTCCACTTTTGATTACATCCACCTAATCTGCAGCGACGTGCCGCTTCAACCACATTCTTCGAGGGACCAATGAAGCTGCTGATCACCTTGCCAAGGATGAAGCCCACAGCACCTTCCCCACCCTCATTTTCTCTTAACACCAACCTTTGAGCTCACTCACCTTTCTGTGTCCAGGTATGCTCGAAATTTTTAATCCCCGTTCCTCTATCTTATCGTCTCTCTCTCTCTCTCTC